AGTATAACAAGCATATGAGTTGAAGTTTATCCATTCCTTTTACCCTTAAAGGGATAAAAGCGATATCGGTGGGCCCCTCGATGATTTAGTGATGACACCCCGAAGTGCTTGGCCAAGCCTGGACTGATTTGATTTGTTCAATTAGTCGGTAGTCATAAATCGGAAATCGGGAAAAAACAAATGGACAAAGAGAATGATTATAATCCATGTCTCGGTCCATAAGATATCTATAATGGAGGAATATATGATCCCTTATCTAATGGACGCGTCATTGATTTGTTCAGAGTTCGACAACAGCTTTTAAGAGCTACGATTGCTAGTCTGGTTTTGAAGTCATACGCAATAATAGTTTTAGACTTATCCAAGTGGGAGACTGTTGGATTAGTGTCTAAGTCCATAACTATAATTGGTATGTACTTGACCCGATTGGCATGGTCCACTTGGGTTGCATGGCATCGGAACAATTTGGATAGACTTTTGTGAGAAAATGATATTTATGATTTCTTAATATATTATAAGTTCTAATATATTCATATGAAATCATATTATTTAATTAGTATTGATCAAGAATTAATTTGGAATTAATTATGTGATCAAAAGGAGACTAATTAAATATATGGGGATTGATTTTGTAAATCATTCATTCTTATATATGTGGGCTTATGATCCATAGTTCTTCATGTTGGGCTAAACCCATGGAGTAACCCATGGATACTCCATGGAGGTTTTAACCCATGGAGCATGAAGAATATGGAAAGACATGAGTTACATGGTGTAACCCTAATAACCACCATATATAAGGACCCCATGGCTCAAGAAATTGGCACTAGTGTGTGTACACATGAGGGCTAGCCGATTTGAGCATAGGAACCTTTTCTCTCAAGTTATTCCAAGATGTTGGTGATGTTGTGTGAACCATTTGAGGTGTCACACTTGAGGCACTAGGCTCTTAAGCTCCATGGAATCAAGCTACAACAAAGAGGTATGTAATTCTACTAGAATTTATATTATATGTACTTCATATTATGCTAGTTAGAAGAATACCTTGGAAAATTGATATTTCCATGTATAATAGAGAAAACATAGATTCAAGGTATTTAGGGTTGCATGTACACCTTAGGAGTGTTAGAATGCTCAAAACCCTTCACTAGCTACCACGTATCTGGGAGACCACATAGCAATATTGGCGCCATCCGTATAAAAATATGCAAGAAAAAGGTCAAGTACCACGCTCCGCATTAGACTCAAGTTTCAGCCTCATAAACTTAATCCCAATATTCAACAAGATCACCATGATGACACCAATTTCAATACCACCAACAATTATTTATTACCATAATATAAAACATATGCCATCTCGAGCACATATATAAGAAGAAGGGGAACCACAATGGAAATCGGTAAGCAAAGGAAAGAAAATAAGACAAACAGCTTCAGTAACAGTTGCATCAGATAATCGTTCCAATACATGCAGACTAAACGTATCGACATGACAGACCAAGACCACCACCAGGAACAACAAGCCGACGATACAAATATTGCCACAACTATTACAGCAACACTTGACGACTATGGCAACACAAACACAACAAAGTGTACCATCATACATATTGTTACCACCTCCGTTCTTGTACACACACTATCAGGTGTTCTAGCCTTTGCAATCCCAGCAAGCCTATTCTCCTCATACTATTCTTGGAAATCAGGTAACACTACACGTCCAATGGGCATCGTAAACAAAGAACAACAATGAAATAAGAGACTTAAGCAAGAATACTAATAATTATCGAGTCCCGAATTCGGACACCACGCCTCTTATTACAAGCATACACAAATAGCAGCTACCGGCATGAGCAAAAATACTCGAAATATCGAAACACGATGGGTCGGGTAATCCGGACGATCACATTAAAAACTACAAGTGTAAAAGATGGATGCTTACTACTTAGACAAGAAGTATTTGTCCATTTCTTCGCATTCACCTTTTTAGGGCCAAGGCAGTTGTGGTACAAAATCCTACAATTTAAAAACATAAATAATTTCAACCAGGTAAGAGAAGATTCTTCGGTCACTTCATACGGCAAAGATGATATATGTCTGACACTCAGGCCATCTTAGGATGCAGACATCATAAGGACGAGTCGTTGCATGTTGTTCACCATTTTAACAAAGCCACACTTAACGCCCTAGAGATAACATGGTAATAGCCGCGTTCACTTACGGATTATGCCCAGGTGACTTATTCAAAAAACTAGTGGGTAAACCACCCAAATCAAGAAAAGATATGATGGAAAGAGTTCACCGTTGCATGAAAGAAGAGGAAGCAGCATTAGAAAATTTAAACTGACCAAGGACAAAAAAACCTATGTTCAAAAAGATAATCGTACACCTTATATGAGAGGTCAAGTTCAAGACCATCAAAAGTAAAATAATATAAAGACATCTCGACCTACCCATTTCCCACACCAAAACTGTAGTAATCAAATAATAAGAAATGGTTGAACGAATGATGCGGGAACAATAGGAAAAAGCAAGAGGAATGATGGAGCAAGAGTAGGGGAAAATATAGGAAACAAAGATAGTATGAAGTACTATGAGTTTCACGGATCCATTGGGCATGACCCTATTGAATGCACCATTTTGCGACGAAAATTGGAAAACAAGATGCAGTCCAGACAGTTACTGACTTAATAAAGGGAATCCAAGGAAGAATTAGTTTTTCATGTTTAGACATCCAGATCAATCCAAAGTAGATCATCTGTGGGATGACTACATGTGTACCTTTGATTAATGGGATTACATTAACAACACTCATAAAGGAGATCAACCCTTTGTAATTGAGGGATTCATAAGCAAGAACTGCATGAATGACACTTATGTAGATAGTAGCTGATCAACAGATGGCACATACAAGCACATCTACAAACAACTCCCGAGCCACATTCAGAAGAAGATAGAGCCACCTGAAGCACATCAAATCAGCTTCTTCGGGTACAACGTGTGGCCAGAAGGAACAATCACGTTACCATTTACCATAATAGACTACAACAATGGCAATAATGGAACTAAACTAGTCACGTTCATCATTAGTATGCATCATCACCGTACGATGTGATTTTTGGAAGAACAAAGATGCATAAGTTTAAAGCCATAGCGTCAATCATTCATGATGTGGTCAAGCTCCATACAATTCCGGGGGTCGTCACAATACCAACAAAAAAAATAGTAGAGCAAATAGAGCAAGGTCAAAAAAAGAATGACACAATTAGTCGTTATGGCAATTCTACATCCTAAGAAGAAATCAAAAAGCCTATGACCTAAAAGAATAAAGATGAACGCCAGAAAGAGGACGAAAAGAATGAAGAGCCTAATACAATGAGTTTAGAGGAAAACAAAAGTCTGAAAAAACAGTCAAGGTACTCACCGAAGCAATGACATGGAAAAAGAAAGAACAAGATGCCTTCGTGGTTATGAAAACATTCATGTGGACAATAACGATAACAATGAGAAATGATCAAGAGAACGTTAGAACCACAAAAGGGAAGCATAACGAGGTAACGAGAATACGAACTAGAGAAGAGTCCTGACCAATCAGTTCCAAAATTGGACAGGTGGGGAAAGAAAATGTAAGCAAGTGTCGAATAGGATTAAATGAGGGAAACCAAGAAAGTAAACCAAAAGTGAAGAGACATTAGTGGAAAAGGAAAGAAACAATAAAAAGATTGAGAGAAACTTATGGCAGAGATAAGAAACGGGAGATAGTTTCAAATGTTGAAAATGGCATCAAAGCAAACACATCATAGAGAATTTACTTTGAATCATAGGGAAGTAAGAAACGGCACACTGAAAGGAAGGAAATGGCAACACCGAGTGATCTTGTCGAGCACCTGAAGAAAGAGTAAATCCACAACAACAATTGCAAGGGTAGACCACAAACAATTTTTGAAGGTATTATGGAAAAAAACAGCGTTCTACTCGACTCATGATCGTAGAGGAAATCAGTAACCATTTTGTTCAAATCAACAAAACAATGGTTAAATGACTGAACAACAACCAACAATACAATTATTCTATAAGTATAGCTCAGTCATTCGACTACACTAATATGCTGGTCAAACGTAACATCTTTACTAAGGCTACCCGTTTAACTAAAGAATACAATTATTCTATAAGTGTAGCTCGGTCATCCGAATACATCAATATGTTGGTTAAACGCAACATCTTGACCAAGGCTACTCGTTAAGCTAAAGAATACAATTATTCTATAAGTGTAGCTTGATCAGCCGACTACACCAATACGCTAGTCAAACGCAATATCATGACCAATGCTACCCATGTAGCCAAAGAATACAATTGTTCTATAATTGTAGTTCGGTGAGCTGACTACACCAATATGTTGTTCAAACGCAACATCTGGACTAAGGCTAACCATTTAGCCAAAGAATACAATTATTTTATAAGTGTAGATCAGTCAACCAACTACACCAATACGTTGGTCAAACGTAACATCTTGACCAAGGTTACCCGTTTAGCCAAAGAATACAACTTTTCTATAAGTGTAGCTCGGTCAGCCGACTACACCAATACGTTGGTCAGCCGACATGACGCGACACGATAATTTAATTGGGCGCGTTAAGTCTCTCTCACCCTATTTAATGTCTTGACACAACAGGACCTAAAACGACAGGTTGTGAGGCCCATGGTCATAGCCCTTGGTCCAAACACTAGCACTTGGTCCAAACACTTGCATTAATATTTGTATGTGAGTTATACCTGTGTGGCTGTGTAGGTGGGGGAATAATTTCTATGAATCTGCCGTATTTTATTAACGACGTAAACGATTAAGTAAGATGATATTGATTCGCGATTAAAATACCAAATGGAAAATAATAGTCCCCTCTCTATAAATAACCTCTCCTACCAAATATTCCTCCTCATTCATCTACTTGTTCACTTCCCAATATAAAAAAACCAAAAGATTACTGAAAATTTTCAGCGTAATGGAACAACAACTAGGGGAAACGGAAGGTTCTGGATCCAGTCCTAGCTTCAGTTTTTACACTTCTAATAGTTCAACATCCACAGCAGCCGCTAAAGTTACCGGTGAAGAACGTGAAGAACAGGCAGCTCTATTTCACGAATTTGGGGATTCCAATGAAGATGATTTTGAATTTTCATTGAAGTTAACCGAAGAGGAAGTTTCAGCTAAAGTGATTAACTCGCGAGGCTGGACTGTTTATCCTCTTTTCAATCGAGATCTTCTGCTGAAAGATGAGGTAGATCCTGAGGTTCATGCTTCTGACTCTATCACCAGTTCATTACGTAAGCTGTTCATTGATAAACCAGAAGAATCTTCATCTTGTTCATCATCAGAAGCCGACGAATTGGAAGCTCTACCTTCTGGAACTTACTGCGTTTGGAGGCCTAAGACGGAAGGTGGATCGTCGCCTGTTATGACTAAAATTAAGAAGAGTAGTTCTACCGGATCTGGATCGAAGAAGTGGAAGATCCGGTATTTGCTCCGGCGGAGCAACAGCCAAGGGAAGGAACCGGTGGTGGTGTTGACTCCAAAGCAAAAACAGAATTCCGGTGACGTTTCCAAAGTCGCCGGCCGGTTGAAGGCTCAAACTCCTGTTCACGAACAGTTTTACGTTCAAAAAAGAGCAGAAAATGAAATGGGTAAGAGGAAATCGTATCTACCATATAGGCAAGTAGGGTTGTTCACAAATGTCAACGCAATGGGCAAAATGCTTCCATTCTAGAATAATCAAACGCAAATTTTGTTTAATTCTATATCACTGTAATTGATATTTTCAAGTTCAATTAACTGTAAATATGCTTCAGTGAGAAGTTTCTTGCTTGTAAATCTCATAAACGAATGACCCTTAATGTAAAGTTTGTCGATGAAAACATGATGGAATTTAACAATGCCTAGGATTAAACAATGAAAACATGTTTTCGTTGTTTTGTATTGATCTTGTTTACGTGGAAGAAATTTTCAAACTTATGTCACGCTTTAGAAATGCTTTATATATTTAGTTAAAATATTTTAGAAGTCATATTTTTGGATGATGTATTTAGGTTTCCTATTATCAAAAAGGAAGGATTAATGTTGATGAATAGACAACAATATATATTTTATATCAACAAAACAGTTGAACACGGGATCTATATAAAAACATTTATTGCATTTGGGTAGGTATTATTGTAGGATCACCTAAAGAAAACCCCATATTTTTATTTTTTAGAAGAACAAAATACATAACACACTTATTAATCCTACTAGTAAAATTATATATTTTTGTTTATTATGGAACCTGAATCCTCTAGCATTTGAGGGGGGACAATTTTTCAAGATACGTGACACCGCTAGGCTACAAGGCGTTTGATGGGCGTTTGATGATGTGTAAATGATGTTTCGTAACCGACAAATCTTTGAAGGCGTTTGTCTAGTATTTATGTTTTTAGAAAAAAAACTCGTCATATATTATAATATATACAAAAACCAAATTGTGATATGTGAGTAACCAATAGGTAAAAGCACATGATGTTATGCGCAATTTACAAGTGTTTGACGAGGGAGAGGGAGGTTCTTTATTTTGTAAACTTATATTTTTCATCTCTTATTTTTTAAAATATCATTTTCACCCCTTCTATCTTCAATTTTATAAAACATCACTTTCACTCCTTTATTTTCTAACCTTTTGTGTTTATCTCCCGTCCCCGTGAAATTAATTGTAGTTAATAGTACAAGTATTAAACTTTTATTTCGTAAAGTGATATTTTTCATCCCTCTACCTTTTAAATACACCTCCTTCACCATCAACTTTATAAAATATCATTTTCATCGTTCATTTTCTACACTTTTGTGTTTATCCTCATCCTGTAAAATTCACTGTAGTTAATAGTACATGTAGTAATACACAATGTACAAGCACGTCATTGCGTAAACTGCAACTTTAATCCCTCAACTTTGTATAATCCGTCATTTTCAATCACTCTATTTTTAAAATGATATTTTTCATCCCTTACTTTTTTAACTATATGACATTGAAGGTGTCACAATAGAAATTGATGCAGGGCTGACCCAAGCCAATTTGAAACTCGGGGTAAAAATGAAAAACGTAGCCCTTCAACATTAAAAAGAATGGTTAAAGATAGCAATGAACTTATAATATTTAATCTACAATAGCAATATACTTTGTTTTTATGATGAAAATAGGAGTTATCAGAATTAACCTATTTTACAAAGCTAGTGTAAGATTCGAGATTTAGTGGTATGTTCATTTTTAACCCTTTACGTGAATTCTTTACTATTTGGTCCCTAGCCAAGTACGTTGGGCATACTCTATGAGTAAGTTGGGCGTACTGGCTCCTCTGATGGTCGCAGAGGTGCCCACGTACGATGGCGGTATGTGGGAGTACACAGGGCGTACGCTAAGCAGGGGCAAACCTTAATTTTAGGGATTGTGCCCTATTTAAGCAATGTATGTTGTCTTGGTTGTATCCTTTAGTCAGCCTCCACACATCTATACCCTAAGATCAATTGCCCTTTTGTGATTTTTGAGTTTGTAAGTGAGTTTTGGTGGTGTTTTTGGTGATTTGAATGAAGAAGAACACTTGGAGGTTGCTTTGGAGTGGCTTGATCTTGTAGATACAGACTCATCATTATCTTTGCAAGCTATTTGAGCTATAAAGTTCTCAACTTGATGATTATTTATCCTAGATCCAATTTATGGCTTCATTTGTGAATTTTTTGGGTCCTTAAGCCATATTTGTGAGTATAGTCTACTCCAGAAGTGATGGATGTTAGATCTTAGCATATTTGAGGTCATTTGACTATAAAATGCAATATTTATGAGATATATTGGTCCATGCATGTGTTAGGATCCTTAATATGGTTCTTTTTTAGTTTCGGGTTCCTGTAAGTCATGTATGGGAGTAAAGTTTCCAACATTACGTGTTAAATCGCCATTTGGGATCAGATATGAGAGTTTGGCGTAGTGACTTAACCGATTAAGTGCTTAATGGTGAAGTTTGGTCAACTGTATCGTACGTTGGGTGTACCCATCTAGTACGTTGCGCATACTGGCCATCGAGGTAGAACGCGGGGTGTAAGATTGAGTACGTCGGGCGTACTCAGCAACCTTGACTTTCGGTAGACTTTCTCGTTTGGTCCATATTTTGGACTTTTAGGGTTTGAGCCTTGTTGGACCATTAGACTTCTGACTTTGGGCCATTTCTAGGTTATGGGCCTTCTTGGATTTAGGCCCATGATGGGTTTTTGGTCTCATTTAGGAAGTTGAGCCATATTAGGCTTTGGGATGCCATTTATAAATTTGGGCTTTTTGAGAAATATGGTTAGGCCTTGGTTTTTGGGCCAAGTAGGAAAAAAGGTAAAATGGTCTTTAGCAAGTAGGAGTTGGGCTCGATGACGGGCGGGGCCCATTTTATGTTTAACATATATGGTATGTGGTGTTTTGGGGAGCTCACTAAGCTTCGTGATTAAGATTTTTAGTTTATGTTTTAGATACTTTCGGATCGAAAGGGAAGAGCTCGAGGTGATCGCATTACACACACCATGATTGTTCCGCATTTTATATGACTCTGATTCAGTTGGATGTTTGATTACATTTCGTTTTTATTATGGTTCCGTGAACCTGTTTTTGAAAGATGGTTTTTGTTAAACTAAAAATAAAATTTTTGGTCTTAAATTTTGGGACGTTAGAAGTTAGTATCAGAGCCTTGGTTTGAGGGATTCAGGCATACTCTGGGGTTTGTATGAACTCAAACTGAGGGTTTGGTAAAATTTTCAAAAAGAAATGTTTATAAAAGAGTTTTCTAATAAAAAAAAGGGTGTGGTGCTTGCAATCGACTGAGCTCAAGTAAGTTTTCCCAAAATACCCATACATGTTTTATAATATGTTTTGATTTGTGAATCTGTGAATTGCATGCTAGTTAGAGCTAAGGATCTGCTCAGGATCTATATGATAGAATGCTAGGAGAGATGCCTTTATATGCCTACTGTATGAGTTTGTAGACTTGCATGCTAGTACTGTTCAGTCAATGATAGGATGGCCTATTTAAGTTATGCTTGTTCCAATTACTCGATGCTCGAATGCTACTTTATTTGTGCTTTTAGGAGTTTCCATTAACTTCAGCTAACTAGTAAGCGAATATGATAAGTTACATATTGTTGATACTAAATAATTTTAGAAGGTTAGGTTTTAACTCTATTACGCAGCTCTTGTCTGAGTCCAACCGTTGTAGTGTGAGACCTTTCATTCGAAGAATTATCTGGTGTCACTGATATGCAATTGTATTCGTGATCTAGTTAGAGGATGTTAGGGGAGTTCCTTCTGCAGTTGATGGTGGGAAGTAGTGTGCTGGTTGCCCTAGGAAAACCTAGGAAGAGATTTAGTGTTGGGATTCTTCTCTTGTTGAGGATTGTATGTATGGATAAGGAGTGATTGGAGGATTCAAAGCGATCCTTGAGGAAAGTACGGATAGATGTGGAAGGTAATATGGGCTCGTACTACTGGAAGCAGAGGATCCGTACTCGAGTCAAGGAAAGTTGTGATGATACCAGGTAGCCTGTAGAGTATGAGACTCCTCGATATATATTTATGTGTGTTCTGATGGTTTGAATGGTTTTTTTCAGTATAGCGCCCCTTCGAGGAAGACATGGTAGTGGTTCTGTTGCTTGTGAGGGTTCAGGCTCGGGTTCTAGAGTCAGGCAGTTGGATGATCAGATACGGGAGTTCATTTCGCCTGAGATTACCTGCATCAGGCTCGAGCAAACTCCTATGATCTTTGGTACGATCAAGGAGGGTATCGTGGAGGTTTTAGAGGAGTGTTTGGGCTCATTCCGTTCTGAGATAGTAGCGAAGATGGGAGCTCGCACTTTGACTTTATGTAAGTTCCGGGCATATGGAGCCTTGGAGTTCTTCGGGAAGAAGGACCCGATCCTGAGTAGACGTTAGTTAGTGGATGTCGTTAATGCCTTCAGCACTAGCAGTTGTCCCGATGGGTCAAAGGTCATACTTGCTTATTGTCTTCTGAAAAACAGAGTTCAAGACTGGTGGGAGGAGGTAGGACACGCTTTGGGAGGCCAGGAGATTGATTCCATGACTTGGGAGGATTTTGTGATGAGATTTCGGGCCAAGATTGTACCTGTGATTGAGGTCCATAAGTTGGCGCCAGAGTTTCAGGATCTCCGCCAGATTACTAATACGGTGGCTGAGATCACCACGATGTTCTGCGAGAGGGCATTGCTAGTTCCGGAGTATGTGGCGGATAAGGAGATGAAGAAGGCGAGATAGCATGAGATGTTGAGAAGAGATATCCGACAGTTTGTTAGCGATCTAGTTGCAAGACACTGGATGATATGATAGCGAGGGCCAGCGAGAGAGAGAGAGAGAGAGAGAGAGAGAGAGAGAGAGAGAGAGAGAGAGAGAGAGATGGTGAGGAAGAGGAAGTCGGAGTAGGTTCAGGGTTCATAGGGTTCGGGCAAGAGGCCCAAGGTTTTTTATTCGAGATCAAGAGGTCAGCAGGGCCGGAGCCGTTGTGGCAAGTGCGGCAGGACGCACGATGGGGAATGCAGGGTGGGTGGTTCAGGCTGCTTCAAGTGCGGCAGGACAGGTCATATTAGCAGGGATTACACTGCTACTACCCCCACCATCCAGACAAGTAACATGATTTGCTTCCATTGCAATCAGAGGGGCCATAAGAAGGCTAATTACCCAAGCTTAGTAGTGGGAGG